GATGTGGGCTTGGAAACGATGTAATTTTTGTTCTGTCATTTTTGGACTTCCCTTATAAGCTGTGGCAGGGTTTATAGGAAAGTGCAAAGCTGCCTTACTTTTTAATTTCAGATGATTGCTTTGGATGGTATTTGAAATACCTCAGTCTTTTTTGAACCGCTTGAAAGAGGATTTTTTGGAGCACAACTCTGGTTTTGTTTGGCTGGGTGGCTTTGTGTGGCAGAGAAGGAGCCATACGTGCTGGCAGCATGGGCCGTGCTGCAGGCAGCCACAGTGTGGTACCTGGGTGGGCAGTGGGGTAAAATGCAGAAACTCATTACCTGGGCTCTGCCTTGAGGTATTGCCTCTAAATAGCAGCAAACAGTCTTTGCATGATTGGCATCTTTTGGTGTTTTACTGAAGACGAGAGTAGTAGTACAGTTTGGCTGTAAGAAAACCATCTTATCTGACTGTTTTATAAATCTGTTTCTTGAGATGCTGTTATTGCTTTAAAAACATGGCTTTCCTCTAATGTCACAGCAGTGAGCTTCCTATGAGGTTTTGCTTTAGATCCTTTTCAAAACCAGACTGAAACCACATCAGAAACAGGAAATGGTTAAGTGTTGCTCCTCTGTCTCTGGGTCCTGGCTGACTGTCTGGTGTTAATCTTAGCGACTGATTCATTTAAATAGTTCTGAATCTTCAAATGAATTCTACTGCTATGCAGTAACCTCCAGGATAATATGTCTGCTTCTGTACAGTGTAATGCATGCTTATCTAAAAGCAAAAGGAAAAGAAAACAAATGAATTGGTGTCAGGCAGTCACTTAGATGTAGGAGAGCTGGTAGAAATGCAGAAGTGAAGGCCTGGAGCAGCTACCCAATTTAGAAAGGACTGAACTAGGCCAGAGATGTGGTCATGTCTTACAGAGCTAGCTATAAGGGACACTGCATATATGGCAGTTGAAGACGTGATGTCTATGGACTGGATTGCATCCTGGCATGCTGGGGCTGTGGGGGGCTGGGCTGGCTTTGGGAGGGGAGAGGAAGAGGGCACAGCACAGCTGGCAGCTGCCTGCAGGCACCTACAGACATGATAAGGCCAGTTCTTTTTGGTAGTGGCAGTCACAAAACATAGGGCAGCAGCTGTGGTTTGTGTCTTAGGATGTTTGGACTAGATATGGGTAGAAAGCCATTCCCCAGGGACATGTCCTTGGAGTGGTGATGGTCTTCATTCTAGATTGCCCTCAAGTGGCTGCTTACTCATGGCTGCTGGACACCACTGGTCTGACACCAGGAATCAGTTATAGGGATGAAAATTACTCTTTTGGTGAGCATTGTAAAGGAATGAGGACGTTTGGGGAAGGAACAAGTGCCTGAACATGGGACGGGCACCTTTCATCCCGTATAGAGCTGGGTGTAGCAAAGCCTTTCCCTTCAGAGAGGGGAGCTGGGATTTGGGAGGCTTCAGTGACACCAAGGGGGGAAAGAAAAAAGGTTTTTGCCGTGCTCCAAATGGCTCATGAGGCTTCACTAAACTTGCAAGTGGTACCTTACTGCTCATGATCTGGATTGTGGCTGTGTGCCAAGGACTGATCTTTTGGCGACTATTTTCTGTGTTACACAAAATCTGCATTTCTTTGCCAGTTACATCTGACATTTTATTAAAACCTACTGTGAATGAATATAAAATATCGTTACATCATTTTTAACATCATAAAACATCATGACATCATTTTATGATGATAAAACATCAACATGGCTACAACAAAGTACGATAGTTTTTGGCTGAGTTCAAGCTACTTGATTTTGACTGATGTAACAGAGATCAGAAACTGATCAGTTTGGCAAATGCTGGAATTTACCTGTCCTGATTTCGGTAGAATGTTGCTTTGCCACAACAACCAAAAACAAGTTAGACAAGTTTAGGTGAGAATTTCTGCTCTTATTATAGAAAAAGCATGTCTTTGTTCTCTATCTCAGAAAATTTGAAGCCATGACTCAAGGGTGTCTACAGACTCAAAATGCAGAAGGTGAGCATACAGTTTTACTAACAGTTTATTTCTCTTGAATTCTGTTTGGTGAGTGGTGAGGCCAAGCCAGTATCTGCAGGCTGTTCAGGTTGCCTGTAATGCTTGAAGCTGCTCATCTTCCTTGAGTGTGCAGATTTTCTTTGTTTCACCCCAATCTATTTTGTATTCATAAAACAGGCTCAGGTTCAAAACTCGCTTGTTTCATCCAGGATTTCAAGTTCCAATGCAGGACTGTGTGTGGAGAAGGAATGAAGGATGTCTTCAATCCTATTCTCTACCAGAATAGGCCAGTAATTTTGGAAATCAGGGTTCTTGAGATTTTTCTTGAGTCTGTGTCAGCATCAGCACAATTTCCAGACCAGTCTACCATGCTTGTTTTCACAAACATATTCAGCTTAGATCTACTCAAGCGAGCAGTCTTTCCCTCTTGCTCTCTAAATATAGATAACTGCTATAAACATTCATGCATAATATGAATGGTAAAGTGATGAATTCATTAACATTTCGCAGAAATGCCTATTTCCTCTCCTCTAGGCACAGAAGAAAATAATGTCTTCGTGCCTGTAGAAAACACAGGCTGGATCCTACCCCCTCATGACCCTCCTGCTGCCTTGCTCCATGCAGTTGCATGGAGTTAGCAATGACCTGTATGTAAGGAGGGGAGCAAAGCATCTTCCCTGCGTCATATATGCCAGTGAGCGTGCAGTTAGCTGAGCACAAAGCAAGCAGTCAGGATTAATAAATCCAGGTCATTCATGGCCAATTGCTTTTCCTGAAGAGTAGGGTGCTGCAGGTCTCTGTGTTTGTGGGCTTCCTGCCCCACAGGGGTGGACAGATGCCCCACTGGGACAGATGGATGCTTTGCTGGTGCCACTTTGAGCACTTCACCTCCTGCTCAAGCAAGTCTCTTGGCAGTGGCCATGGCAGTGGCCATGCCAGAGATCAATGGCCGTTCCCTTAGTCTAAACCTATGACAATCAGTGGGGTGAATGGAAAGTGATTTTGCTGTATCCCTGCTGTGCCAGGTTCTTGGGGTCAGGAGATGCTCATCTCCAAGATTTGAACCTCAAAGAACCTTCTCTTTACAAAAATGAGTGAATGCTCAGAAAAATAAGTAGGAAGTAAAAAATCATAGAATCATAAAACGGCTCAGATTGAAAGGGACCTCAGCAGATCATCTGGTCTAATCTTTTGAGGGAAGGGAGCAACTTAGATGAGATTGTCCAGGACAATGTCCAGTCGCATCCGGAAAACCTCCAGTGATGGAGGGTCTGCCACATGCCTGGGGAGGTTGTTCAGTGAATGATTGTTTTCACTGCAAAGAATTTCATTCTTATGGCAAGATAAAACATATCATAGTGCAACTTGTACCTGTTACCCCTTGTCTTCTCCATGTGGCTCTTTGTGAAGAGAGAGCCTCTGTCCTCTCTGTAGTCCCCTTTAAATACTGGAACACTGTGATGAGGGCTTCCCTCTAGGCTTCTCCTCTAGGGAGGAAGGACCTAACTCCTTCAGCCTCTCCTCATAAGACAGGTTCAACAGCCCGCTTTGTGGCTCTCCTTTGGATCCTGTCCAGTCTGTCTGTGTCTTTCTTGAATTGTTGGGTTGTGCCAGTGTCATTTGTGGCATAAATTATGAGGTCAAGCCAATGTCATTCCTGGCTTAACAGTGCTGTGATGCATTTTGTATCAGCTTGTTAAAACAAGCACACTGGAGAGTACCCCTGAGAACAGATTTAGAATGAGCCTTGTTCCTTGCCAGGAGGGCTTGTTCTTGCTCACTGATTGTGAAGGGGCTGGGGCACTGTAGTGACTCAGTAGCAACCAAGCCCCATGCAGCCACTTGCTTGCTCCTCCCTGGTGGGATGGGGGAGAGAATTGGAAGGGTATAAGTGAGAAAACTTGTGGGTTGACATAAAGGCAGTTTAATAAGTAAAACAAAAGCCACATGCACAGGAAAAACAAAACAAGGAATTAATTCATGACTTTCCTTGGGGAGGCAGGTGTTAAGCCATCCCCAGGACAGGAGTGCTCCATGATGCATAACACTGACTTGAAAAGACAAACACCACCACTCTGAAAGTGCTCCCCTTCCTTCTTCTTCCCCAGCTTTTTATTGCTGACCGTGATGCCATATGGTCTGGAATATCCCCGTGGTCAACTGGGGTCAGCTGTCCCAGCTGCGTCCTCTCCCAACTCCTTGTACACCCCCAGACTCCTTGCTGGTGGGGTGGAGTGAGGAGCAGAAAAGGCCTTGACTCTATGTAAGCAGTGCTCAGCAGTAACTAAAACATCCCTCTGTTATCAACACTGTTTCCAGCACAAATCCAAAACACAGCCCCACACTTGCTACTGAGAAGAAGGTTAACTCTATCCCAACCAAAATCAGCACAGTCCAACCATCAATGTCTGTGGGATGCTGGAGCTGGGGCATGCAGCTCCTGTGCAGTTTGTCTGCCAGACGAATTCCCATGGCCCTCCAGCTACATCCACTGCTTACCTTATTAAGAACATCTGGACGAAGTGATTTATAAACTCTCTCCCTTGATAGCACTGGTTGTATTTTATGTCTCAGCAATTTTCTGTATTGCTAAACTATTACTCATGAGCAGATTTTGTGGTAAAGCCTTTCACAGACTTAAGCCCTATTGAATGTGTGGCTGTGTCCTCACCTTTCCTTCTTTTTACCCACTCCCTCTTTCAGTTCTACACTGGCTCTCTTGGCCTCATGTTCTGGGGACATGTCTTGATTTGTGAGCTTGTGACTTGTCACTGTTAGCTCTTATAAGCCCTACTTTGTACCTTGAAGACCAGGCTGGTTTGGTGCTTGAAACAGCACTGATGACTTGGTGTTTGCCTCTTGTTCCTCAGAGCTAATGTGTTATCTGGGAGGTGAGGACAGAAGACTTGATTTGCTCAATGGCCTCAGAAGGGTTTCTCCACCCCTAGCCATGCTCAAGAAAATTTTTTTGGATTTCTGTCATAAGTTGTGGCTTCATATTTTATCATTCAAGTGGTTTCTTTACTGACATCCCATTCATTTTTCTTACAGGCTCCACATCTGTTTGTTACAAGCCTACCAGCCCCGTCCAGGTACTGGAGGACGCTGGCTTTCTTTACCAGGATCACCAGTTGTTTGCTGGCAGGCATGATGTTTCTCCACTAACAGCTGAAGTGATCAGTGCCAAAGAAAAAGCTGGTAAGTGTGTGGCCACACTTCTGTATGAACCCACTGCATTTACTTCCCAAAGCATAAATTGAGCAGTTTAGACCATTTACAAATGAAATTTATGAAGTTAAGGCTCACTTCTAATCCTTGGTAGAGTCAAAGAGGAGTTACCTTTGACTAGAGTGTTATGACCCATCATAACTTGTCACCTGTGCTTGTGGAGGTGCAGCATTTCTGCTGGTCCTTCAGGGCATGGCTGCTCTTCACTGCACAGCTGGACCAATGTCCACGGCTCTTTTGCTGATGGAGCAGGACCGCAGGCACCCTGTTGAAAGCTCACTGTAGTCGATCCCTTTGGACATCAATTAGAGGCAATTAAAGTCCATCTCCCAGGATGCTGACATGACTAACACAGGAGTGGAAATCCTGATGTATTATAAAGAGCTGCCTTGACTGCGTGATGTTGGCTTTATCCACTTTCCTCAGGCTTGTCTCAGGCATTGCCTAACAACCTAGACTGTAAGCTTTCTGATATGTTAGGGAGACATTATTGCCTTTCTGCAAAAATGTCCAGTGTGGTGAGGCTGCTGTGTGCTGTCGTAACATGAATAAAGCAGTAAGAGTTTGCTGTAACTGCAGGGATACATAAAGCAGATGGATACTTGGCCGTTGAGCACAGAGGTAGATGGAGATGTGTGTGTCTGTGTATCTTCCTGGCTCAAACACCATTCCAAGGAGCTGACAGACCCTCTGAAAGCTGGTGACTGGGCTGCAACCCCAGTGAGTCAGGCTGTCAGGCAGATAATGTTGTATCAGGGAAAGCAGGAGAGGTGTATCTTGTAGGACAGGCATGGAATGAAGCAATCTGGGAATCTTTTCTCCCTCTTGAGCCCCACAATCATCTTTAAAGCTTTGCCACAGAATTGTTAGTGGCAATGACCTATTCTCATTGTTACAAGTCAAAGGCTTTTCTTTCCCTCTGGCCTCAGGGTTGCATGTAGTTTGTCCCACAGCATGTGCAGTAACTGATGAAACCTCAGGGAAATATACCTGCCTCAAGAGAAAATTTGTTTTTTAACCACTTTCAAATGCCAAAAAACAATGCCTTCTGATGAACTTCTCTGAGAATTGGAAACAGCAGGAGAGAGAAAGTTACCAAGAATGATCTCAAAAAACTGAACTGGAAACAGCACCTCCTCATGCCTAGGGCCATTGGAGGACTCTATCTGGAGCTGAGTTTATTCTCACTTTTGTCTGAACTGGAGTCTTTCAGGAACATCCCTCTGGGCTCAGATATTGCTCGGGCAGATATCTTACAGCACTTTTGAGATGGGAGTGGAAGGAGGGCTCCAGGAGGGAGGGATTTCAAACCTCTCAGCCATGGCTATGTCATAGAATCATAGGATATGCTGAGTTGGAAAAGACCCGTCAGGATCATCGAGTCCAACTCCTGGCCCTACACAGGACACCCCAAGAATCACACCATGTGCCTGAGAGTGTTGTCCAAATGGTTCTAGATGCTTAGCTCTAGGCAAGCTCCACTGTGTATGTAGTGCAAAGATGGTGCCATTGGCTCTGAATTACTTCAGTAGCTTGTGTTAGGGTTGTGCAGCTGCTCTTTTGAAAATGCTGGTGTTACATCTACGACCATAATATCTTCCTTGTGCTGACCCAGCAAAATTACAACAGTTAGTATTGACTCCCTTAGAAACAGCATTATCAACCAGAAGGGAAATGGCAGTTTTAGAGGAAGATGCCAAATCACAGATTATTCTTTATTTAGACTGCTAGGACCCTTTTATTTTCTGTGCCATTTCACAGTTTTTCTGTGACACATTTTGCGATTTATTTTATTATGGCATGCAGTACACCTATGGTTTCGGTCATCAAAAATATAGCCTCTCGTTTAGTATTGGCATACAGGCTGCCTCTCTAAGCTATGCAAGGCATCTCCAGTGCTCAACAGGCTTCCAAGAGAGGCAGTTGATGCCCCAAACCTGTCAGAGTTTAAAGAGAGATTTGGAAAATGCCATTAATAAAATGCTTTAACTTTTGGTCAGCCTTGAATTGTCAGACAGTGCGACGAGATGATCACTGTAGGTCACTTCCAACTGAACTATCTTATCCTATGCTGTCCTGTCCTATCATGTGTGTTTTAGAAAATACCAAATTTCCCTATGACATGGCCTGTCCCTTGTTGACTTGGAAGGGAGTTCAGAGCTCTGGATATGGGATGCTTGGAGTATTATGGAAGGGAGGGCCAAGGAGGGGACTGGAATGTATTTTTAGTGTTCACTGCAAACAGAATTAGGGTCTGGGACTGGGGGGATGAGCAGGGAGGAGGGCCCTGCCTCCTTTGGTGACTTCCAACCATGCCCCCTCTGCTGTCAGAGCACTGGCCTTGAAGTGCATCTGGGACAGAGTCACAGCCGTAGGAGGTAGCAGGTAAGAAAGAGTGGGGGTATTGGACTCCTGGGCAGCAGAGCTAATGGCAACCTCTCTCTCCCTGCCCAGCCGAGGAGACCCTCTGCACCCTGCGTCCACCCAGCTTCCGCCGGGTCCCAGAGACGGAGATGCGAGGGGCAGAGGAGGTGGCAGCCGGCACCGTCCTGCAGCGCCTGATCCAGGAGCGGCTGAGGTATGGCAACCCCAGCGAGAACATGAACCTGCTGGCCATACAGCACCAGGCGACGGGCAGTGCCGGCCCCTCCAACAGCACTGCCAGCACACTCTCCTCCGCAGAAAACCTTGCTCCCGAAGACCTGCCAATGGTCCAGCCATCAGGGCGGCAGGAACCACAGGGGCAGGAGCACCAGGGGGACGGTGCTGCAATGGAGAAGCAGCCCCGGGCCCCACAGCCCCCGCATGGCACCGAGGAGCTCCCCACTTATGAGGAGGCCAAAGCTCAGTCTCAGTTTTTCCGTGGCCAGCCCCCACAGCCGGCCACCACTGCCACCCCAGGTTTTTATGGCTCCTCCAGCCAGAAGTCCAGGACGGAGGGGAGACCGACAGTGAACCGGGCCAACAGCGGGCAGGCTCATAAGGATGAGGCACTGAAGGAGCTGAAGCAGGGCCACGTCCGCTCGCTGAGCGAAAGGATCATGCAGCTCTCACTGGAGAGGAATGGGGCTAAGCAGCACCCTCCAGCCCCGGGAGGCGGGAAGGGCTTCAAGGCAGCCCCACCACCTGGCAAGGCCACAGACCCACGGGGCCCACCGCCCGAGTACCCCTACAAAGCCAAGGCAGCAGCCCCGGGCAGCAAGGCACAGGAGCATGGGCTCTTCTATGGCGAGCAGCCGACACAGGACGTCCTCAAGGCCGCCTATGCCAACCCCCAGCCTGCCCGGGCAGAGCTGGCCCTGGTCCGCTACCAGCCTCCCCCAGAGTATGGGGTCAGCAGGTAATGCCCATCGTGGGGGGGTGTGCAGGGGCAACTGGTCCTGCCCTTGCTGGAGGAGCCAGCATGTGTGGGTCTTGGGCTTTGTGTAAACACAGCCATGGTGAGGACCAATGTGGTGTGGACATCACACCCTGTGATGGGGACATAACATCCCATGGCAGGGCTGGCTGGTGGAGGCACCTACATCTCCTAGAGGGCTCTATAAAGCTTGTACGCCACTTACACCCTACTTAAATCTTCCCACAGAGCTCACGTGGGGCTTTCACACTACTGGGCCCCTCATGCCAGGCCTCCCCGTGAGCACGGGTTTATTCCAAGCGCATTAAAAATAATCCAGAGCGTTTGCTGGCTGTGCGCTGATCCCTGCAAGCAATGCAGGTCTTGCCTTCAGAGGTGAGCCCATGCATTAAGGGCTCCTTTTCCTTGCAGTACCTGAATGCAAGTGTTTCTCTGTCTCATCACTGTCTCTTTGACCTCCTGGACAGTTACTTTGCTGGATTTGGAAGGCTGGAGTTGTTTGGTGTGAACAAAACATGTTGCAAGCGCCTCATTGGTCTTTCTGACCCCAGAATCTCCAAAGATTTTGTTGGCATCACCTTAAGTTGCACACAGTAAATTTACCACAGCACAGACACAGAGAAAAAGTGGTGCAGCTGACTTGGCTCTTCCTTTCCAAAATGTGTGAGGCATGAAATGCAGGAGGGAATGCTCTGCCTTTCCATGTTTGCAGAAATGACAGGCTTTGTGTCAAGATAGAGAGGAACTCAGAGCGTGGCTTTGGTGACTGTTGCAAGGTGACTGTAACAAGTGGAGTGCCTGCGCTGAGCATCAGTGGTCTTCCTTCAGCTACACATGTGTTTTGATTCCCAAATCAAACATGTGCAGAGTTTATGCAATTTTTTAAGAGCAAGACAGTACTTTTAAGACCTTAGCAAAAACGTCTGTTTGTGCAAAGAAAGAGCTATACAAATGTGAGGACAACAGGGGCCATACTTTCCTGCAGCCATTTGCAGTACCAACAAACATCTCCACCACTGTGCAGATTCATCCCCACTGAAAATGAGCTTATTTGAGTATTTTTATCACTCTTGGAAAATGCTGGTTCAATACTCACAGAGTCTGTTCTGCTGAGTCCATATAAGTGAGCAGACCCAGGTGCTACATACACTGCTTCAGCTAACTTGAAACAGCTGTGATGTCAAGTGGGAAACCCTTTGGGGCCACTTCCAGAACCTTTCACCAGTACCTGATCAGCAATGTTAATGCTGAGAAAACCCTTGATTTCAATGCTGATTCCATGCCAGTCCTCAATCTTTGCTGAGGTGCTGCAGGATCACCCCAGCAGCTATGGGGAGTAACTAGCTCATGGTGGTTGTCACTGCTCATTCTTGATAAGGCAGCACAGTTTAACTCCCAAATCACACTGCAGATAGGATGCCTGCTACCCCCGTGTGCTGTTTTCTTTGCATGATGGTGGAGAAATATCCCTCCAGTCAGGTGCAGAGGCACCAGCGGGGATATGCTTTGCAGCAGGGATATGCTGTGCAGCAGAGGACTGGCAGCATGGCAGAGCAGAGCTGCTGAGTTTTGCAGACTTATTAAAGCAATCTTTAGTGGTATCTTTTTTGCAACTCAGCAAAGGCCTTAATACCTCTCGGTCTGCATTTATCCCTGCTGGCTACTCCAGCATGGTTTTACAGATGTAGGTTAGGAGGTTGACATGGTGGGGGTTGTTTCACCAAAGTTAGGTTTGTTCTAAGGTGTATGGTCTCTTATATGCTTTCTTTAAGACAGTTTGGGTCCTAGTGTGCAGGTGGGTATTTTCGGGTCCTTCTTGGCTCCTTTCACATGGTGCCTGGATTTTGGGGGATGTTTCCTGCATATGTGTTCCTGCTGGCTGCCTGTGAGGCACGAGCAGGACGGTTGCTCATTTGCAGACTGTATCTTGAGGCCTTGCTTTGCACAGTGTTAGTGACTGGGGGGAAATCTGGCTGTGCAGATATCAGACAGCAAGCCTCTGGGTCTCAGCAAAGTGGTGGTCTTCATCCTCATCTCAGGCTTCTTTCTATGTTTTTTGACACAGGAATGTCAACCTTTCCTATTGCTTGGGTGCGCTGAAATATTCGTTGCTGACATTACCTGGACTTGTTTGCAATCAGTATGAACTGGTTTGGTTTCTTCTGTGCTTATCCCAGCTCATAATTGGCCCGATGGTCTGCAGGATTCCCACTGTGGTCCTGTTACCCAGGAAGATTTGGCTGACATAAGCTTTTGGGAAGCAATTGCAATCCCTGTTTGCCATTCATCACTTGTCATTTCTCCATCTGCAGCAGCTGTGCTCCAGTGCATCCCTGTGCACATGTCAGGCTCCATCACAGGATGGGCTTGCCCAGGTCTGGGATGGTTAAAATGCAATTTCACAAAGTGATCTCTGCTCCAAATATTCCTCTTTGGAGAGGATAAAGACAGGTTAACCTTGGGACATCCAGGGAAATCAGTCTCTACTAGAGGATTTGCTGGGTGGCAGCCCCTGAGCAGTTGCTGGAGAAGGGACGGGGGTTGTGTTATACTGCTGGGTTGCTCCCTAACACAGACCTTCCTGTGGCTCTGCCCTTGCTCACTGCTTCCTCCATTACCTGTGCTCTGGGGAGGCTCCCTTCCAGCCGCCTGGCTAGGATGGAAAGCCTTGATAGAAAATGTTGAGGTAGGGGACTACGTGGTTTCATAAGGTTAACTGAAGGGGTGGGGGTTGTTTTTTAACTTATAGGGCAAGCGAGGTGTGAAATTCCAGCTTTCAGCTCATCAAGGGGGCCTGGGAAAGAAGCTAATGGAAACAGCTTTACCCATGGTCAGGTGGGAATCTCATGTATCCCAGTATCTCCATTCCTCTGTCTTGGTCATATCAGTTCCCCAGCCCGTCCTTCCTGGCATCTTCTGGACAGGGGCCATGCAAAAGGCTTCTGCCTTCCAGAAAAGAGAGGAGAGAAGCACAGAGCTGCATTGATCCAGAAGAAGCACTCACAGATACCAGGGATGGAAAAGACCTATAGGGTCCCCCCCAGTCCTTCTTTGACAAGGGAAACGTGGCTGGAAATGGACAAACACTGGCAGGAAACTGTTGAAGGAGATGGGATAACCGTAGCTGCTGCTTAATTTCCTTTTTTGGTTTGGCTTTGGTTTTTTTGCTGTGACTGGTTTTAAAGGAAACATTGCCTTTATAATCATCAGAGTGAAATCTTGAAATTTATTCTAAAGGGTGTTTTCCTGAAGAACTCCCAAAGTCATATGATGCAGTAATCTCAGCATTTATATAAATTAGATTTAGCGACTTCTGCTTTATGGACATCACAATTGCAGAGCAGAGCTTTAACCTTGAAACTCAAAAGACAAAATAGCCAGAAGGCAAATAAAAATGAACCAATATTTTTCCTTTTAAAATACCAATATTTTTAGGCCAGTTGCTTGATGCCTGGGGCCTTGACTCACAATTTCTGAATGCTTTAAGTTGGCCAAGTGTAATAATCTTTACAAAACCTTTCCTTTCCTAGACTTACAGCTATTCCTTAATAGTGTCTTTGCTATCTTTTCTTAGGTGCATGTTCAGAAAGTTACAGCTTGTTAGGTAAATGGGCTTGGAACTAATCTAAGTTAGTCTTTTGCACAATGCCGTGAATTAATTCCAGTTTGTGAAACATTCAGTCCTGGTGATTATAACACTCTCCGTCTGGAGAATTCATCACGACCTTTACAGACTTGTTCCACTAGCTAATTGCCATCTCTGGCATAGATCTGCATCTTAGTTTCAATCTGTATTTTCTAGTTACCAGAGATTTTGCAATATCTTTGTCAGATACAGCAAAGGAGCCCCATGCTATCAGTCCTTTAATACATTTAACAGATGGAGCCTGGAGTCCTGTACTTATTTCACCGTTGTCAAAACCCCTTTTTTCATTGTGGAAAGCTGACCTGAACACTGTTTCAGTACCAGCTGGACCAGAGGCTAATCAGATGTAATGACACCTCTGCGATGCGACTCAGTGTTCCTTGTTTGTGTAGCTCATTAACACTTGCTGTTGGCACCCCAGGATCTCCCCATATAGCTTGTTATCCGGTCAGGCATGTGAGGGTTGTCACAGCCCAGGATAGTATTTCCCACCCTTTTACTGTAGCTTGCTGTATTTTTTCCTGGGTGGATGAACTTAGACCTGCTTAAGTCCGTATTGTTTCTCTGTGTCCTGCTTAAGCAGTGATCCAGATCACTTGGTGCAATGAATCCTCTTCATTGATCCCAGTGGCCCTTGTCAGATCCTGATGTCTTTTATCCCAAATGATTTCTTTCTCTGCACTAATTAATAAAAAGCATGTATAATGCAAATGAAGCCTTGAACTGGAAATACCACTGCTTACTGAGGGGGCTTCATTTGTGGCTACATGCAGAAGACAATCATGAAGGCAGCTTTTAATTCTGATTTAATCCATGCATTTTAAAAGACAGCATGCAGAATCAATGAAAAGGATAAATCTGTGCTGTTTTTAAATACATCCCATTTCTTTATGTGCCTCATAAAATTCCACCCTGCCAGGATGTAGAAGCCTATATTTAACTGCTGGAATAGTCTGCGGCTTCTCTGGTTATTTGTGTATTTAGCCCCCCCCCACATACTCCCGCTGTTTTCAGACAACCTGTTGATATTTACTAATTCAACCACATGTCTGTGGCTGCTGACAGGACTACAAGGAGCTCCCTTTCTTCCCGGAGACACCCCAGGCAGGCGGGTGAGCTGGCAATGTGGCTGAGCCGAGGGATGTCACACCCAAGCTGACTTGTGCTGGCGTTTCTCTGCGAGGATAGCCCAAGCATGAGCTTGGGTTGGAGGCTGCACTTCCAGCTGATGTGGATGCTGGCAGCCCTGCAGAAGAGCTTTGTTTTGTATCCTCTCCTGTTCTGATATACCTTACATTAAAATAAAGAGAAATGAAGCTATTCCCACAGCCTAGGT